CCTGCTGGGACGTCCGGCCCCCCTCCCCGTGTCAGCGCCCCCTGCTGGGACGTCCTGTCCCAGTCTCCTGGTGTGTGAGCGCCCCCTGCAGGATGCAACCCGCTCTGCGCGCGCATCGCTCATCCCTCCTCACCTGCACCTGGCCAAGCAGCTGCTGCCTCTCAGAGCCCAGCGCGCTCCCCTGCTCCCCCACGTAGGTCCGCAGCTGCTGAAGCAGGGTCTGCTGGGAGGCCAGCTCCGCCTGGGCCATGCTGCGGGGAGAGAAATCATCAAATCAGACAACTCAAGGTCCCTTCCTGAGGCCACCGAGTCCAGTCCCCGGCCCACACGGCCGGACCAAGCACCATCTAAACCTTCCCAGACCAGTGTCTGCCCAACCTACTCTTCAATATCTCTACAGATGGGGCTTCCACAGCCTCCCTGGGCAATTTATTCCAGTGTTTGACCACCCTGACAGTTAGGAACTTTTTCCTAATGTCCAACCTAAACCTCTCTTGCTGCAGTTTAAGCCCATTGCTTCTTGTCCTGTCCTCACAGGCCAAGGGGAACAAGTTTTCTCCCTCTTCCTTGTGACACCTGTTTAGATACTTGAAACTCGCTTTCATGTCCCCTCTCGGTCTTCTTCTTTCCAAACTAAACAAGCCCAGTTCCTTCAGCCTTCCCTCCTAGCTCATGTTCTCTAGACCTTTCATCATTCTCGTTGTTTAAGCCCATTGCTTCTTGTCCTGTCCTCACAGGCCAAGGGGAACAAGTTTTCTCCCTCTTCCTTGTGACACCTGTTTAGATACTTGAAACTCGCTTTCATGTCCCCTCTCGGTCTTCTTCTTTCCAAACTAAACAAGCCCAGTTCCTTCAGCCTTCCCTCCTAGCTCATGTTCTCTAGACCTTTCATCATTCTCGTTGCTCTTCTCTGGACCCTCTCCAATTTCTCCCCATCTTTCTTGAAATGCGGGGCCCAGAACTGGACACAATCCTCCAGCTGAGGCCTGATCAGCGCAGAGCAGAAGAACGACTCCTCGTGTCTTGCTCACCACACTCCTGTCCATGCAGCCCAGAATCATGTTTGCTTTTTGTGCAACAGCATCACACTTTGACTCCTATTCAGCGTGTGGTCCACTATCACTCCTAGATCCCTTTCTGCCGGACTCCTTCCTAGACAGTCGCTTCCCGTTCTGCGTGTGTGACACGGACTGTCCCTTCCTAAGTGGAGCACTTTACGTTTGTCCTTATTCAGCTTCATCCTGTTGACCTCCAACATTTCTCCAGTTTGTCCAGATCATTTTGAATTCTGACCTGTCCTCCAAAGCACTCACCACCCCTCCCAGCTTGGGATCAGCTGCAAACTTAATAATCGTACTCTCTACGCCAATATCTAAATCAGAACATAAGAACGGCCAGACCCTGCAGGAGCTGGAGCTGAGCAGGACGGTCAGACCAAAAGTCCATCCAGCCCAGTTTCCCATCTGCCGACAGCGGCCAGTGCCAGATGCCCCAGAGGGAGCGAACAGAACAGGGAATGATCCAGCAAACTCTCCTGCCACCCATCTCCACCCTCTGACAAACAGAGGCTGGGGACCCCATTCCTTACCCATCCTGGCTAATAGCCATTGATGGACTTAACCCCCATGAATGTATCTAGCTCTCTTTTAAATCCTGTTCTAGTCCCAGCCTGCACAACCTCCTCAGGCGAGGAGTTCCACAGGTTGACTGTGTGCTGTGTGAAGAAAAACTTCCTTTTGTTTGTTTTAAACCTGCTGCTTATTAATTGTGATCAAGTCACCCGTTAACCTTCTCTTAGTGAAGCTAAATAGATTAAACTCTGAGTCTGAACATAAGAACGGCCAGACCCTGCAGGAGCTGGAGCTGAGCAGGACGGTCAGACCAAAAGTCCATCCAGCCCAGTTTCCCATCTGCCGACAGCGGCCAGTGCCAGATGCCCCAGAGGGAGCGAACAGAACAGGGAATGATCCAGCAAACTCTCCTGCCACCCATCTCCACCCTCTGACAAACAGAGGCTGGGGACCCCATTCCTTACCCATCCTGGCTAATAGCCATTGATGGACTTAACCCCCATGAATGTATCTAGCTCTCTTTTAAATCCTGTTCTAGTCCCAGCCTGCACAACCTCCTCAGGCGAGGAGTTCCACAGGTTGACTGTGTGCTGTGTGAAGAAAAACTTCCTTTCATTTGTTTAAACGTGCTGTCTATTCAGTTCATTGG